AGGAAGCAAGAAAAGAATATCAAGAGAAAGAATGAAGAAGATATGTAGAGTAGGATAGATGTATTGGTGTTTTAACAGTGAATGATGTGTGAGTCAACAGGATATACGGTAATGCAGGAAGAAAGAAGAACAAGAAATATCAAATGAAGGTTAAAATATCATGTACGAACAATCGATATAACCATAAAGTGACTTTATGTAATCACATACAATTAACTCGATCGGAAACATCACAGACGGTCAATACCGGCACATCATTGTTGTTGTGCGTTGAGTTAATTCCATGTGCAGCTTCTGTTGTCCGTAGTAGGGGTGAGAAGTTACCGTTCCCAGACCGTTACCCGGTAACGGTAACGGTTCCTATGGAAGGAGTTACCAGTTACCCAATTAGCTGGTAACGGGACCGTTACCAGTTACTTTTTCCTGGTAACTTTTTAAAAAGACTAAATATCACTTCTATTGGACCGAATATTGACAATACACCAGTAAAAAAAATTTGGAGTTACCAGTTACCCTGGTAACTGTTACCCGTTACCAGTTACCTGGGAACGGGTCAACTTAAAAAATAACGTAGTTGCAAAATCCTGTTCATGGGAAGTAATAATTCATCTTTCTAGAGAAGTTACCCGGAAAAAGTAACTGGTAACAGTAACGGTAACTTCCCACCCCTAGTCCGTAGTGTATTTCTATTATGGCTGAAGCAAATATATATATACAGGGTAATTCAAAAGTCTTGGTGCCTCTCAGAAAAGTTACTGTTTCTCCCTTATTACAAATCCAAAAACGCTCAAACTTTGGCATTTAATTTATTGGAACTAGATGAATATTACTCTAAATATTCGTATCTCTAGTCTGAATAGTAAGAGAGATACACAATTCATATTGTAGAGAAGTTTTTTTTTTCCAGGCCGTAAAATCCAAAACATAGTAAGCATTTGTATGAAAACATAGAAAGAAGAAATGTAAAAATGATGACATCAAAGTGAAGATATATTGCAAAAAATTATGTTTCTATAGTATATTTATAAGTTTATGTTCAGTTTTGATTGATTATATACAAACTTATGAAGATTGTCCATCATTTAATTTTGATAAAATTTTTCCAATATTTTTCTATTTCGCACCGTTTCTGTCAACGCTTTCTTTTTAACATTTTTCGTATCGAACTTTTACTTTTCAACGTTTTTCTTTCATTCTATCATATTTAATGAACATCTGTCGCCGAAATGCAAAACAACTAAAGAGCAAATTTTGACAGTACATGATTCGCAAATGTACTCAACATTGATTTATTCAACATTAAGACAATTGAAATATCTAGTTGCTAAAATCGGGCATCTGATCAATAGAGGCGACGATAGAAATATGAAAATACAAAATGCTGTATTGTTTGTAATTATATTTGAAGGGAAAATCAATCAATGTGAATACTACCTCAAAGTAAAAATGTTGATTTTTCGATTTTACAGTCTGGGAAAAAAACCTTCTCTACAATATGAATTATGTATCTCCCTTATTATTCAGACCAGAGATATGAAAATTTAGGGTAATGCTCATCTAGTTCCAATAATTTAAATGCCACAGTTTGAGCGTTTTTGGATTTGTAATAAGGAAGAAACAGTAACTTTTCTGAGAGGTACCAAGACTTTTGGATCACCCTGTATATATACATTTATCGTCTTTGAAAATAATCAGACATTTACATGGCTTACAATATTTTACAGAGGCAAATCACTGTGACGTCTTCGGTTGAGTCTATTATGCGCCATTATTTACCTTTATTATTTGATTAACTTGAATGTTCGTGAACTATCTCGCTCTCCTTGACTTTTCTCTCCCTTTTTTTCTTATCTCTCCCAATTGCGTATATAAACGTGTGTTTTTGATGTAAACGATGTGATTGGTGATACGATAAAGCACAATAAAGTGTAACTCCATAAGCGCTAGTGACTCTTCTATCTAAAATCGACACAATCACTTGTTCATCTTCAATATATGTATTATTTGTACGTTCTATTGAATATTTTTCATAGTAACATCGCTGGACTTATTTTTTAAAAGATAGAAAAGTAGTGCTTGTAGGAGTAAGGACAAGATATTTTGTTCATCGGTTAGTCACACGCATACAATGAAGAGAACTTCGAAACTTCGAAATTCTCAATTAAGAGACTAGTGCTCATGTTCGTCTAGTTCTCATCGAATGAAGCAATGCTTTATGTTAGGAGAATTAACTATTCTTGCATATCTGAAGGAAGTAAGTAAGACCTTTCCTTGTGCTAAAACATTAAAACTTATCTTTTCTCGGCACTTCTTGCGAGCCTTAATTCATGAGTACAGTATCTGTTGATGATGCAGGTTTAATCGATGAACAGTTTCGAAAAATCATTTCACAACCACTGTACTATCCTTTTTATTGTCGTTCAAGTGTTGACGTCATATTTTCATGCGATCCTGTCACATGAACACATGTTATTCGATCAATACATATTTTTCATGAAGCCAGCTATTCGTCACGATATTGCCATTTATCAAAAACATGAAAACTATTAAAAGTGTGGATTACGAGTAATAGTGATTTGTTGAGTGGTTTATTAGTTTCAAAAATATTGTGTTCATTTGAAGTAGCACTAAACAAGTATACGTATTTTATCGAATTAAATCTAAAATGTTTTTTGAAATATGTTCTTCAAAGTAAGTGCTCTTTCTTGTATGAATATGTTTCTCATTCTCAATCGTTGTTTTTTAACTATTATATTACCATTATGTAGAGTGTGAACCCTCTTTTAATTCTATTCACACATACTCACACTCGATCAGTGTTTGTCTCGTCCTAGCAGATTTGAAGAATTCCACTATTGTGTTACTAGTGACTGTATGAAAAATACATTAAGACTCAACAAACACACTATGGGATACAGCACGAGTAACATATAAGGATGTAAGAAATGTTTTAAAGAAAATTAATTTAAAAAACTTTGAAAAAGTACAAGATCACCTTCGAATAGTTAATGTATATTCTGTTTAATCTCTGATAAGAAGATGAACAGTTTTATTTCGGTACGAATAATTGAGTCACTCTTTTTTTGAGTAAGGCTGAACTATGTGTAGAGCAAAAACAAACGCAGTTGACCTCAAATAACCATGCATCTTCATACAGTCCGTTAGATATCAATTAGTTCAAAAACAAATATCTTTCTTTCAAAAAAAGCTATGTATAGATCAGGTTCAAGCATTTGATGCCGAGGATGTGGGTGTGCGATGAATTCAGAACACGACCCACATCCCCCTCACACCCAAGATGTCAGAAAGCATCCGCGAGATCCACTAGATTGAAATTTTATTTTTAATGTTATACTAAAATATTATATTCCAAAACTTCTTTTCAATTCATCTTGAAAATGAGGAATGATTGGCAGGAATAAAATGAAAGTTATATAAACTTTTTTTTATTTAACTCAGCTATTTCATTGATTTCATTGTCATGTATTTTGTATACAAAAGTTGAATAATTGTGAAATTCGAATAAAATCATTGATTTTCGATCATGTTTTAAGGGTTAGATGAGAAATTGAACAATAACTGGAAGATTTAGTGAATTGAAGAGATTGCTCGAGTTTCGAAAATGATTCATTTTCTATAATATCGAAAAAACAAGAACTAGCTTAAAACGACAAATGATTCTGGATAAATAATGTTCGAAGATATTTCTGAAATATATGCGAAATGTAGGTAAATAGAGGATCCTTATGAACAGCTATAGCATGTTCTGCATGCAACTCAAGATCATGAGACAAAAAAGGATGAAAAGAAATAGATCTATCGTCTTTACGAATACAAACATAAATCTGACTGAAATTTTTCCTAGTTATCATTCAAAATAACTTTGATTCGAATGATGATATCTTTGATAATTTTAATCAATTTTCGAATCAAAAACTTCTCGGAAAATACGATGCTTGTATTCATGAAAACATTCGCAACATTAACGTGACGACAGCAAAATCTTCTCTTTATGCAAGATTAGGACAACTATGATCAAAGCAAGAGGAGAACATTTTGAAACGGAGTTTTTCTAGAAAAATCAACTTTTCTGAGGGGGAATGTGGTTCTCAGTGTCCGTACACATTCTGAATTTTTCAGCTGTTCACTATTTAGAACATGATGGCTTTGTCTTTGTACGTCTAGAAAAGATATTTTTGGTAGTTGTAGAACGATTTGTGTAAAAGGTCATTTCGAAATAGCACCATTCTGTTTTACTTTCTGAACAGACGCAGAAAAACTGCGCTTCTTTCCATTTAATACTCTCATATGAATTAAATCGACTTTTGTTGGATAAGTAACTGCGAATTCAAAAAAGTTCTTCCTGCATATTTTATTAATTCAAGCGAGAATGGAGAGATTGATTTTTAATTGCACTTTTTATTATGAAGTCTTAGAAGTGCAGTCGTTTCTCTTCATAATATTATTAGTTAGAAAATTCTAAGCAAAATAAATTCATCTTCTTTCTAGATACACTCATTAGTATTGGCGAAGCAATGATAGAACTTCTTTGCACTCATTGCAGCACAAATTAATAAGCATTTTTCTCAAGAGAATGACAAAGACAAAGGATAAACACAGAATGCTATTGTTTTCATTGCATACGAAATTCATGACCCCATGGATGACAAGGACGAAATGAAAGCTTGAAAAATGTACGCGGGAAAAAGAGCAGGAAAGAAAAAAAAGGGAGACTGTCCGATTGAACTCTTTTTTTTTAAAATTCAATATTAAATGTTGAAGGATCACTTAATGAGTTTGTTTTATTGAAACGTACAGTTTTTATTTGATTTATGAGTAGATATGAGTGTGTGGATACTATGATGAACAATTCCTCCACTTATACTCTTCTCTATTTATATTATTTTAATTGTGGTGAAAGACTACAAATTCTGAAAAAAAGAGGCTCAGTCAATTATCTTCGAATAAAGTATCATTAGTAGTGTAACGTTGACTAAGACTCATGAAATATTACATTGAGCAGGTTCTTCTGTCGTATGAGACGATGATGATGACTGGGATCGAATAAGAAGCTTTTTAAGAGCATTGACAAATCGAGCATATTCATCGAGTTGAAAAATATCTTGTCCATTGTATCGAGATTGAATTCGAGACCTCAATCGATCATATTCAGCATCCATACGTATCGATGATTCCGTGACTAGTTTTGCATAGACGAGAAATTCAGTTCCATCAACAAATGTAAATGTATCAAATAGATAATCGGATAAACGATTCTGATGAAACCAACATTTGATTTCCTCGTATGTCCATTGATCAGGTGGAAGAGCCGATGCCGCTTCAATATTGTACAGAGAACGTAAACTTCTAAGTGATCCAATCAGATTGGCAAATTGTTCTCGACTAAGTCCACGATGACGCATACATGTTTCATATTCATCGTATAGAGCATCTTCATTCGATAATAGACGAATATAAGCAAGCAAAGCTTGACCAGAAGATAAATCAAGTATTGATAGAGGTAATTGAAGTATATGTTGTAGATCGACATTAGTCCACTGTTCGATTGGTTTTTTATTGACAGATGGAAGACTTAGAATAGGGACAATGTCTGGTGTTGGCGAATATGGCACTGATTGTGTCGTTAGAGTTTCAATGATTGGATTTGAGATTAACTTTGAAGGTGGTGAGATTGTTGATGATAAGGAGAGAATTGGATTTTGAATAATATTTTGAACAGTTTGTTGTTGACCAATTTGAGTTGGTGCCTCGTGAGGTCTCATTCTGTCGAGATTTCGTTTGGTTTTATCTGTTGCATGAATCAAGTTAAGAAGAGCTTCCATCACTATTTCATCACTTTTATTATCTCCAAATCGTACAAAAGTAGCTGAACCGACACGAATTTCAAACCAATCTTCCGGCTGATACTCTTTTCCTTGATAGACAGGTATCATCCGTTTATTACGTTTATCGGCATGAATTACTTCACGACGACAGCTTTTCGATGTACAATAATTTTCAGTAACAAGCATAAGAACAACATCACATTGTGTAATAGCACGAGCGATTTCTTCCCAATCATCATCATAGGGTGGTTTCAATTTAATAAAATCAACCCAGATATCACCTCGAACACAATTTTGAAGTTGACTAACAAGTTTTTGACATAGTTTCGTATCTTTATGTGCATAGGAAATCATCACTTTGACATGATCATAATCTGTTTCAATGTTATCAATTAGTTGAAGATCTGTTTGAACAAGATCAAGATTAAAAAGAATACCTTTTGCTGCTCGTCTCATAGCAACAATATGTTCATCATTGGATTCTGTTTTGGACATTTGCACAACGAATCGAATAAACTCATCGTTTTCTTTTAATGTTACATAATAATCTGATTGAAAACTAATTGACCAAAAAATTGTATAGAGTGAAACACAAATCAATTCATGTAAATCATTAGATTCGGTATTACCATGTCTTGTACATAGATGATTAAATTCTAAAAATTTTCCAAAAAATAAATCGAACATATTATCTTTCGAAATAATATATCGAAGAAATTTATCATTAGCAACTAATTTAGCTAGACCAGCTAGATATTCAGTTACATTATAAAGGCCACAATTAAATTCAGATGAATTAAATGCTTGAATTGTTCGTTCAATAATATGATCAAGTACATTTTGAATACTAGTCATATTTTCTTTTTTCATTTCTTTTGGTTCAAGTAAAATTACATAGAGAAGATAATAAGCAACAAGAATTTCTTCAAAAGTTTTCATCATATTAGCAGAGGGTAATTTAGAAAAATATTGATTTTTCCATTCTTTAAGAATTTCAAGTGTTTTCAATTTGTTCAATGCATTTATACCAATACAATGACGTGCAAAATTATACAAAATATTAATAACAAGAAACCATGTATCTAGAGATATTTTCTTGTCGAAATTTTGTTTTCTTTTCATCCATTCAAGTATAGCTTCAGGATAACCTGTTTTAACAAAATATGGAATAAATCCATAAATATCTGCTATATTGAGTAACCACTTCAAAATTAATGCATCACTTTCTGAATGTTGACGATCATCTAAAAAATAACTATTTAAATAAGTTATAAATGCTTGAAGAAGATGTTCGGTAGTATTTGTCAATTGAAAAAAATTTGGCGTTGTTTTTCGTGACACACACATCGAAGAAGAACGACTTGTTTTATAATAAACAGCTCGTGAACTAATATAGCAGAATAAATTGAAAATTTGTTCATCAATATTACTTTCATTTGATATTGAAAATGATTTTTGAGTAAGATAATTTATTGTTGAATCAGTTGTTAACCAAATAAGTGAGACTTTAAAGTAACAATCACTCATCAATGGATTTGTTTCCATATCAATAATCAATTGAAGACGAATAGTATCCAAAAGAGAACATACAAAAGATGAGGATATTTTGGACGTAAGTTGAATGAGAAATTGTCGAAATAAATTCACTTCTAACGATTGAAACATGAGAAGTAGTTGTTGTTTGTCATCATTTGATACTGAATTGGAATTTTTTTCAATCTGTTGTAATTGATCATGAACAATATTTAACGAATTACATAACTTCTCATCATGATAATTTCCATCAAGTAAAATTGTTTCTAATTGACGAAGTGCATTTGTCACTATTTCATTGACAGTCATATTGACGATAGCTGTTGTAGAGAAAGCGAATCAAGTACTAATATTCTTTCGATTAGGTAACCCTTCTATCACCTCCTACATTTCATGATTAATCGAATGTTGTTGCCAAATGCAAACGACTGCATGTGCGATTGCTAGACACACTACTCAATTGAAGCACAAAAAATTTGCCAATATACCTGAAGCAATTCAAGATCAGAGTTTCGTTCTCTGTAGGAGCGATGGTAAATAATAATATTAAGTACAGTGATTAACTTCGAAAAATATTGATTCATATATGCGTGTGTTCTGAATATTCAACAGTCAGAATGACGCTGAGCTTATTAGGGCATTTGAGATTTCAATATGTATGTGCGTATAATCATAGAGAAATTGTGGGTGCTTAGATGTAGGAGTGGTTAAATAGAAGAGTTACACTCATACTCATAACCATTTCGCTACTCTCGAGATCTTGTACTATTAGAATTTCTCTGGTCGAAATATTCACTTTTAGAAGCTTTCGTAAGACACGCTTAAAAACTGAGAGTTGACTACTTTTTTTAATGGATTTCGTCGAAATTTATAAAACTCTTTCTACGGTTGCATATCTTCAATTTTTCAAAATTTGACGACCTTGGTTGGTTGAGCACGTTCGGTCGTGGATTATATGCACTTGCTGGTAAACTGCTTGTGAAAATGACATGAAGTCTTACAATGAAATCAAACAGTACTCTTTCATTTTTTTCACAAGTTTGAATATAACGAGTGTATGTCTTCTGTGTTTTGATAGGTTTTCTCACACCTATGATTCAAAAAACTGATATAGGCACTAAATCATTAAAAAGAAAAAGAGAATTAAAGTTTTGCACCCTTTTATTAACTCATAAATGATCATGAAATCAAATTATATTCTATTGTTGATCACTTCCATCAAGTATTTTATTGACAATCTGTTCTATAGTTTGCATAGAAGCTAGAAAGTCATCTTCGGTACGACTTCGTCTTTGTAACTGTTTCTCAGATGAATATGCTGAATTTTCCATACTAAAGACATTGATGTTTTCAGGTAAACCCAATTTTAATAGATCGAATTCTAGATTGCATGATTTACAATGGGTTACTACTACAAACAATTGTCGAAATTGTTCTGTTGTTGAAGAATACATATCGTTTATATATTTTTTAATCTCATTTGATAGATTTTTTCCATTGAAATTTCTCGCGTCAATTACCAGCATGATTCCCGCGAATTCATCAATATCAAGTAAATCAACTGGTTTATTACCGCTCAGAATTTTATTATCATCACTAAACTTGATTGTGTCAATAAACACAATATTTTCACGATCATCGATAGGAAATCGATAATAATTAGTCATCGTTGCTTGTACATAACTATCCATATTTGTAGTTATCAAAGCATGAGATGGATTCACTGTTGTTCTCAGAATACGATTATAAAATGTACGTTTATTTGCAAAAAAATTGGCAGTATAATCGATGATTGTCGACTTACCTAAAAAGATAAGGAATATTTTAGTAAGTATTTGTAGTAGTTACAGTATGACCACATACCAGCTCCTATCTCGCCTATAACTAATATGTAATGATTGACTATTTGATCAGTATTGGATGGTCTTGAAATATTGAGGATCTTCCTCCAATCGATTGGTTGTGTTTGAATAATAATAGTTTCCGGTAAGGTCATCAATTGAATCATATCATTTTTGAGCTCACCAACTTTTTGTTTCAACCGTTCAAGATCATTTTCAATTAATTTCTCTGATTGTCGATGCTGTATTAATTCGTTTCTTAAGATTTCAATTCGTTTTTTAACAATATTATTTTCTTTTTTCTTACTGAATAATCGGATTACTATTCCACGAGTTTCATCAGCTGTTCGACGACAAGCATCGATTGTTCTTGTTTGCCATTCATCGATCTGTTTTAATAGAGCTCGAGCATCGTCATTATCAAGTGAATTCGATGAACGATTGATTCTCATATGAAAATCTTGTAGAATTTTATCATGTTCATTGATAATCTTGTTGAGATCTTTCTTGAGTTTCTCTCTATGTTCGCTTAAATGCTTTTGACAAAAATTTTTAGCACATCCATGACACGGCATAGTCACCATTGATTTCTTCGATGCACATATGTCACATAAAATTTCAGTTTTATTCGTAGAAATTTCTTGAGAACTAATGGATGATGATGGTGGAATAGTAGTTATGACTTTTGGTAATGATAATGGTGTATCTGTGACTTGGACTGTCTTATAATAAATATTTGTAACAAGTGAGATAAACATTTGTTCAACATTAGAACCATTGAGTGCTGATGTTTCTATGTATTGAAAATTGAATTGAATAGCAAGAGTCATTGCTTGGTCGTATGTTACTTGTCGTCGAGTGACCAAGTCTGATTTACTACCAACCAGAATAATGGATAGTTCTTTGGATCCATATTGATGCAATTCTTTGATCCATTCAGCAATATTATTGAATGTTTTTAAGTCAGTTAGATCAAACACAACGAAAGCACCATGTGAATCACAAATGAAAGGGCGAATCATATGTTTGTAAGGATCTGTACCTGCCGTATCCTTATTTATAACATACGACAGTATGAATCTAGATTAAGACAATCAATATTCTTGAACTTACCCATACGCGTACTTTAATGTTTTTCCCATCGACTATGAATTGTTTCATATCAAAATCAATTCCGATTGTCGATTTCATGCATTCAGGAAATTTATCATGCATACCACGACGTAAAAGAGATGACTCGAAATAATATAATTATTTCGTATACATCAGGCAAGAATATCGAATCCTAGTAGCTTACCTTGCCTACATGGTTATCTCCGATGAGAATTAATGTATACAAGAATTCACATCTGGATTTTGTTGCAGAACATTGTGCCATTAGTTATGTTATACACAGAACAATAAAAATAGGCAATATTATTGTACCGTACAAAACAAGTTTTGTAGTACTTTTTATAATCTGAATTCTTAAAATAATACATCCTATTAAGAAAAAGAATGAGTGATCGAAAACATGAGAATAACTATTTTCTTTTAGCAATATTCAGATTACGAAGATTGACTGCGAACTGATTGTAAACGATAATATAAGTTGATTGAATTCGAATTGTCAGCAGACGGAGTTGTATGTCATTTATTTTAAAAAATGAATATTTTTTTGCACGAAGAAGGGCACGCATTGCACACTTGATATGCTGTTATGCAATGATAAACAATCTGAATGTTTTTATCGGTTCTTATCTTTTCTTCTATTTTTATTTTCATACTAGTACCAAATCGAAATTTTCTTGCTTTTTTGTGTCAACATGATTACAACACGCTATGGAAAATATTAAATAGTTTTCTGTACTTTCTAACGAAATGTTACTGTTATAAAATTTGATTTCAAGACGTATGCCAGCATTTAGTTAAATAGTCATTTTTGTACATAGGAAGTAAAACATAACAAGATTGATACTGATTTTGGTTTCAGAGTCGAGCTCAGCATTGGCGATAGAAAAATACGAGTTTAGTCCTTTTGAATCTCGTTGCAGTGATTTGAATGATCAATTGTGCTGTTACACTGATGGTAGAAAAAAATCTATCGACACTATTTTTAGCAGCTGACAACTTGTCATTTGTCGACAGCATTGACAAATAGAATAAGAACAAAGAAAATAAATGGTGAAAAGAATTTATGATAAGGACAGCAGTGTTAGCTTTTTTTTCTTAAATAAAAACAAAACTGGGTTTTTTTTCTTTGTTTTGCGGAAATAAAATCTCAACTTGTCAGTTGTTTCTTCTTGAAATAAAAACAAAAATTAAGCGTTTTACTGTTGTTTTAAAAAAGTGTCGAAACTCTGGTAAACAGAGAAGAAGAGCAATAGAAATTATCATACCTACAACTTATCTTCTTGTTTTTATCTGAAACAAAGAACAAAAATTAACACATCTAGCCTATAGCCATGTTGTAAGGGCAAAAGAGAAACAAACTACGTACGCATTTGAACATAACCAAGTAGTTCCGTTAAAAAATCAGTGACATAAACCTATCATGACAGCCAATCGAAAAAGGGTCTCTCTTTCATAGGCCGGGATTCATGTTTTATCGACAAATTTTCTTAATTACTATGATAGCTTTCATTAACATCGAACCCTACACTTGACGTATATACATTAACCATGATTATAAAGCAAAACTGAATAATCTAGCTTTGACATGGCCACTGCAGGAAAAAATAGACAAAAAAAGCCTTGAACAAATATATTTAAGGACATTCAAACATTACTGGTTCCTACAGAAGAGTAGGTGACAGAGTATACTTTCATAGCGATTATAGTAGACGGTAGAGCCTGTCGGCTCGAATTTGAAATTTGTCAGTTAACCAGGTTTGGATCCAACGACAATGTGGGACGTTTCCAATGACATACTAAAGTTAACTATGCCATGTCGTAGAATAAACAAGATTGCATTTCATAAGAACTCATCTATTTATTGAAATCTTGCCTGCAACTCATTTTGTGATCCAATACTTTTTGTCATGATAACATGCTTAAGGAGTACCGAAAATTACTGTGACAAACTCAGTTTTTATGAAGAATCCAAGCATACCAATTTTGAAATCCATATGAAATAGAAATTCCTTATTTAATCATAAAAATATGCTAGGTTCTTAGTGGGAAAAATGTAGTTTTCGAGCCAATGTACTGTTTAACACTATCAAACAATCTCGAGTTCTATTAGGAAGAATCCTGCACGAGAAACTAAAAAAATAAATGCTCTTATTCAGGTTGTCGAGTTTTATGTAACTATATAAAAAGAAACAAAAAAACATGGCTTACTTTTTGCATTTTGTACTCCTCAATACCTTGAAAACCTACAGATATGATGTTGAGATAGACCCTACATAATTAAAGATAGCATACCCGGTGAGCTCTTGAAAGCTATAGATATACAGGGTGGTCCAAAAGTTACCTACCAAACTTAAA